CAAAAGAGAAAAAAAAAAAAAAAAGAAATGGCCTAATGTTAGCTGTGGCCCTTCGGGTGTGGTGGCTGAGCTTGTGAAGCTGCCGTTGTGATGGTTATAGGAGGCAATGAGCAGAGACAGCAGTGGTCAGAGAAGCCGTGGCAGTTTTATCACCAGGACAGAGCACAAAGGATGCTTTCGTTATGACTATTGCCAGCATTTAGGTGGGAACATCTGCTTATTCTTTCCTGGTGTCTCTCCTGAGCTGTGAGGCACACCCTTGCTGTTCAGCCTCTCCCCAAATTTTGCACCCCCTGTCCATGGAGGTCATGTTTACAGAAAGGGTGTAACCCTGGAGAGCAGCAGCCTTTGGTTCGAAACGCCATCCTGGATCAGCAAAGCTTAACACAAAGGCAGCAGTGACCTACAGCTTATGGGTAAGCTTTTCCAAACAGGGATTTGAAATTTCACTGCTTTATTGCTAAAGATGTGATAAAATCCTAGGAAAAAAAAATAGTATCTTCTGAGCTTTAAAACATTTTCACAGTAACAATAACTATAAAGCCTTCACGTAGAACATTTTACTAACAAATAAGCAGATACTGACCACGAAGGTCTTGTCTGGAATATAACAGACACCTACCAATTTTGCCTCTGAAAAAGTCTTTATTTTTCCTCCTCTTCTCACTGTAAATCATTTCGGTACAGAATCACCTTACTTTAATGAGATGCCATTTGTTCCCCAAGTAGCATATGGGAAAGTGATCTCAAGAGGTTCATGTCTTAAGCAAAGCAAAACATTCCCCGAGAGAGGTCTTACCCATTAATCTTACCTGGAACTTTGGGTGATTGTGTTGTATACATTTAGATAGTTAAAATTAATTAGAATTTAACTGGAACTAAGCTTCTTTTCCCAATTTCCTATCATCTCCATGGGGAAGACAGCAAAAATTTCCTATCTCATAAAAGTATTATGAATATGTGTGTTATTAGAAGTCCAGATACTCTATTTAATAGAACATTGCATATATATAAAAACTAAAAGTATTATGAATATGTGTGTTATTAGATGTCCAGATACTAGAACATTGCATATATATAAAAATGGAAAAAGTATGTTACTAGTGTTTCTTTCTGTAGTGAAGGGGTTTTAAGAAGTATGTAAAATTTAAACAAACAAGAAGTTTGCACTAACTTTTATGTGCTTTGGTTCATGTAATTTTTGTTTGTAGGGAAAAAACAGTAATCTTTGCTGGTATTATGGAGGAAAAAATATTCAAGCACATGAAAGTTTTGTTATCTGTGCTCAAAAAAGTTATCTGTATCAATTTTTCTAATAAAAGATACTACATGTTCTATAACTTCAGTAATTGACTACTTTAAGGAAGAAATAAAGGGTGGATAATAAATAAATTAATAAAATATTGGAAACAAAAATAACAGGACTATTGCTGGCAAAGGGCTTAAAGTTCTAAATCTGGGCTTCCATTGCCAAGAAGCGTGGGTTTAATCAGCAGAAGCTTGTGAATGTATAATCCTTTAGAATGAATATCAGACAATTTACTCACTTCTGTTATTACATTATTCCAAATGCAAACTATGACTGAGTTCACAATCTTTGTTGCTGATCATTACTAAAAGTAATAGTTCTGGGAAATGAAATAGTGGGAATAGTAGAACCTCAAGAAAATTGCTATTACTTTGCTTTTCCAGTGATGTGCAACACTAAAACTGAAAGTTACTCTATGTGTATCCAAATTAATGAAGTAACAGTAAACTTGAATGACCAACTACAAAGAGAAGAAGGGGAAAAAGGTCCAAACATGTCTCTTTAGTTGGCATGCAGTCATTCATCCATGTATGGACAGATCCTTGACTGCTGGGACTGGTGAACACGAGAAATAATATGATTTATCTGAAGTTTGACTCTTTTATGGATTTTTTTTTTTTTTTTTTAATTTCCATGGGAGGAATGTAATTGCAATTCCAAGAGAATGGTCTCAATGACCTAATTATTTAATATTATTTTTTTTTTTAGGTTTTGTAGGACTGCAACAGATTTTGATCTGTTTATTTGTGCAAGAAACATATGTGTGCATATAGGTTGAAAATCGGTATGTGCACAGGACAGGTATGGCAGCATAAAGTGCATATATAAATGAATACTTGCTGGCAAAGTCTTAGTATGGTCTCTGTGTGGTCTTACTATGCTCGAATTAGCCACTGCAAAGTCAAAGCATGTGCTGCACACACTTGCAAGTGTGGGTAAATGGTAAAAGAATGAACATTGTTAAGCTGTTAATGCACTGAATTTCTTTCTTACCTTCATTATTGGCTGATTTTCAGTACCTATAATTAATGTGCTTGGAGTGGGTGGATCTCTTTACATTTGCCTGTTTCTTTTCACAGCTAAATCAGGTAAAAAGAAAAGCTCAAGATTACGATTCTCTGCAAAATGCTTTCCAAGTTTCCTGGTGCCATGGTGGGCTGGGCGGATGGAGCCCAAATAGGAAAATGCACTACCGGAGATAAATAGATGTTTGAAAAAAAGCTGCAGTCCTGAAACCCTCCA